AATAGAAATATCTTTCTCTCTCTATGAATCTCTTTCTCTGACTTCTCTCTCTAAGATTACTGTCTGTGATTCTCTTCTTCTTAGTTTACAAACAATACTCTTCTTGTTGATAATGATATTGTAGTTAACTTCTTTACATCCACGTTTAATCAAATTTCGTAATTAAATAAGTCAATTTCGTGGGTAAGTACCCTAAAAAGCTGTTGTGTCACTGGTACTATTTTGATTAGGGCAAAATGTTCCACATCCATCACATAAGTTGAAAAAGAGAAATCACGATTCAGAAACCAACTCACAGTACAATAATTTTTTTTTATAGACATTCTTTAGGGGCACGGTTAATTTTGATTCATTTTACTGCCAACAAAAGTTAAATTTGAAGAGAGAAAAGGGAAGAAAAATTGACAAAACCTGGCCAAGTTGATCAACAGATTTCAGAATTTGGCATTCACCACTATAAATTTCATGCAGTTGTTGGTAGATTCGGTTAATGCAAATACATATCTAGGAATAAGAATTAGGGTTTCTTCCTACTAGCTAAGCAATACCAATAGGAAGACAATCTTTTTTTGTCAGATATACTGCATCAGTAGAGTCTTCTGGAAAAATGAAAAAACGTGGTGGTGTTTTACAGGAGTGAAGGAGGGAGTGGTATTGCACGTGGGTTAGGACCACCAGACAAAATTGTCTCTAAATTATTTATTAAAAAAAAAAAAAAAAAAAAAAACCCTTAAACTCTTAAAAATTATCAATTTCATTCCTTGCTTTGAAACTCTTATTGTCACTCGAGTAATAATTTAAAGACTAAATCAGCAGTTTACCTAGTTATGTATGATACCCCTTTGGATTCGTTCTTTAATTTAAATTTTTGAAAAAAAAAATTTAGGCTTGTTTAATAATCATTTAGTCTTTACCTCATAAAAAAAAAATCATTTGGTTTTTTGTTTTTGGTTTTCATTTGTTGTGTCAGTTATAAAAATTGAAATACATAGATAAAATGATGGATGAAAAAGAGTGGATATAGGGGATGATACAAAGAAAGACAAAATAAAATGTAAATTAAAAAGATATATAAAATTGTTTTCATTTTTTAAGATTTTGTTTTTATCCATTCTTCTTCATCTTTTCCCTCTTCCATCACTTTTCGTGATCTCTCCTTTTCATTATATAAAACGCAAAAAGAGAAAATCTAAAATCCAAAAATGAGATAATTATCAAACAGGTCCTAAGATTTTGAATAATTGATTTGAGCATCTGTAGTATTTGCAGTGCCCAACCATAGATAACTCACTTTAGTGAAAGCAATTGAAACATCTTAAGCAGAAATCGTACATCAGTTACCATTTTAGTAGTTCAGTCCTCCATGAGCAAGGACTTTCAAAGCAATCGAATCAACCACCAATCATTTTCTCAAGTCAAGTAATATCCAAAAATAATAATAAAAAATAAAAAATATCAGTACAATTTATTATAGTTTTGCATACATGGGATGGGATGTTTACTACTAGTATAGTTTAAAATAGAGCTTATCAAGATTTTAGACTAATTTATGTAAAAGTATTCAATTATTTCCATTACGTCTTCTTCTTAGACGTCTTCCATAAAAAAATTATAGTGATTATATATCTTAAATTGACATCGACAAGTACACGAAGGTTTCTATATTATTATTAAGGGGAGGATTTGAAACTATTACAATAATTTAAGGGATCATAGGCAATTTTGAACTCGAGAAGCATGGGTGGAAATCCAACACCCTTTCGCTAGGATATTGGACCACATGCAAAGGTTTGTATATATTCAATTTGCAGACTTATATAGCTTGAATGTTAACTAGCTAATCAATTTGTTAAGAGCGATCATACAACAAAGTTGTTCGAAGTCCAGATTAGTACTTTGGATTCTGCTCCCACTCCCACTCAAGGACATGGGATAGTTTGATGAGTGGTTGCTACGCTCTTCTTTTTACCTTTACTTAAGAAAAATTAAGAGACATAACTAAGTAGAGAGTACATAAAATCAAAAGAGAGTGCGGAAATCACTTTCTAGACTTTCTAGTACCGTTAGTAAACGATGAAAAGAAATCCAACAGTTGGGGTGCAGCGAAGTAGTGTTGTATAACTGTTGGGTTCATTGGTTGTCTTGCTTTTAACTGCAGACAAAAAAAAGATGATTGCTCCTTTCCTTGGTATGTTTGTTTTTGAGTGAAACTTTGTGATCTCATGATGGGAATATTGCCATACGGTTCAATCTCTTCCAGTTCCAAAGATTCCATATGTGTACGTACGTATGCATGCATGATTGATTCTTGAAAAAGGTTTTGATAGCGCTGTTTATGTTTATTTTTTTATTTAATCAAAATTAACATGACTAATCAAATGATGATCAACGCATCATTAACAAAGAAATGTAACGTGCCGTGCCCGAAGAAGGTTAAGGTGACAAGAAAGCCACCATGCAATCTTCAAAATACAATTCCTAAATTACGTTTTCATAACAAATGATGATCAATGTAAAATGACTCGTTTGGAATGTTAACAACAAAGCAATGAGGACAAACCTATCACTCTTTCATATGTTATATAATGGGTTACGCTATTCACATACCCTATTTTACTTTCCTCACCTCCTATTAATTTTCGACCGTCAGATCGTATGAATTGAAAAAGTCAAATGACATAAATTAATTAGAGGTGTGTGGGAAGTAAAAATTGGAACGTGAACAGAACCACCCTATATAATATATCATAATTGAGAATAATCCCATGAATCATAATCATGAACTAGCTAGTTAAACATACTGTGATCATCTTCTGGGAGTTAAAAAGTTCTCTGTGTACTATATAAGGAAGCAAGAAGGGGAAGGAAGGAGAGAGAGAGAGAGAGAGAGAGAGAGGAGAGCGAGGGGAAGAGCTAGACTGCTTGCATTACAAGCGATCTTGAGGAGCTGATATCGATATGTGAATATGAGGGAACGATGGAGAGGGGAGCTACCTTCGGTCCAATTCAGAGGGCTGAGGAGTGGCTAGAGCTGTCATCTCATGCATTTGGCTACTCCCTTAATATTATTTTCCAACCCTAGTAGCCTGCTGCCTGCGCAGCTGTGCAACTCTATTCAATTAGCTGTTACATGGGAGATGATATACTGAATATTAAGGGTTCGGCCTGGTGCATGGTGTGGGAGCAACTCCTTCCGCGCGCTTAGCCCGCCCATTGGACTGAAGGGAGCTCTGGCCACCACCCGTTTCATCACGTCGCGTAAACCGAGTCAAGTGCACGATTTTCTTTTCTTTCTGTTGTCTGCTCTTAAGACTATAACCATTCTCATCACTGTCATATTCTCGTCGCTAATAATTAATCATCGGATGTCACTTATACTATCATAATTTTCATTAAGGTTTGATGAATCTGCTTGACAGGAAAGAAGAAAATCAATTTGGAGACTTGAAGCTAGCGTGGATGATGTGGTTTTACTACAACAGAAATCCGAACGGTGATGCGAAATCCAGGAAAACAAGAACGTGTGCTCCGGACGAGATTGAACACTTTTCTGGTTTTCTGATTTTCTTCTTCTGATCACCGGAGCATGTTAAACTACTAACACTCTGAAGTACTTAGGATGGGCAAATACCTATTGGTTGCGGTTATCCGTCCATTTAAATTTGACAGTTATGGGTATAACTGTTTACCTGTGAAATTTAAATAGGCGGTTATGGTATTACCGCGGTCATAAATGAGAACCTATTTAACCGTTTATTCTAATATATGTAAAACTAAAAAATAAAAATAAAAAGTTTCTAGCTAAGTTTGGTATCCCGAGACATATTTGGTTATAAGGGGCCATATAATATATATATGCCTCACTTGAGAGAAAAGTATAGTTGATAGAACAGGCCAATGTTAACATATGTGATTGAATGTGCTAAAGCATTAGAATGTTCGACAGTTTTATTTTGGAGTCTTTTGAAGCTTTGGCCAATTCAAGATAATGATTACCTTAAGATTTTAGAAATATGTTATTGTCAGCTGATGCGTGTATATATATATATATATATATATACAGAGAGCTTAAGGGGAGGGATCCCCATTTTTTCAAAAAAAATGGGGACACGCTCCCCACCGTTAGATTGACTTTAATGAAATTGTGTGGTTGAGATTAAAACACAGGCCACAGAATCTCAACCACATGATTTCATTAAAGTCAAATCCAACGGTAGGGAGCGTATCCCCATTTTTTTTTTAAAATAGGGATCCCTCCCCTTAAGCAATTCCTATATATATATATATATATATTTATTTAATTGGCCTCGGTTTTCAATAAATATTTGACCCAAAAATTAGAAATCGATTAAATGGCTTGGATCGATGAAAATATGTTTCTAAATAAAAATCTAAATATTTATCAAATTAGCTTATTAGCAAACTGATCCGTACTTACATATATATATATATATATATATATGTATATGTATACAAGAATATTAATTAACCTACAGCCATGCATGATTCTTGTAATAGATTGATTGTCAAATAATTGGGAGACATCACATATATTCATAAATAATATTGGTGTCATACAAAAATACATGTTAAATGTACTTATAACGGTATTTAATTGTTAGAAAAAAGAAAATTATGACAAATTTCTTTTTAAATTTTCAAGTTTTTAAAAAATAGGTAGACGGGTAAAAAAAAAAAGGGTAAAAAGGTATGCGGTTATGGTTAAATGGATATGCTGTTATGGATAAATAGATATACGGTTATAGGTATGGTTAACCGTTTATAAATAGTTATGGGTATACCCGTTTATGTAAATACCCAACGGGTAAACAATTATATGGGTAAAAATTTAAACGGTTATGGGTAAATAACCGTGGTTACCCACCCGCCATAACTGTTGCCCATCGCTAGAAGTACTTGGTAAGTGTCGAGTTACAGCGTTCGAGTTAGAGGAGCAACAATTACCGGGAGGACCGCAATAAAAACACAAATTGTAATGCTTTGGAGAATTAGCAACTGTTTTTCCTTAGCACTTGAACAATGCAAAAGATTTATGATACATCATCCATACATGACCAATGACAAAGAAACTTATTCTTTTATCTAGGCAGAGGCCTAGTTCAAATCACCGTCAATTTTTGGAAGCTAACAAGCAAGATAATCTAGTGAAAAGTCGAAGCCTGAAATCTGGCCGGAAATCTGTAACGACAAAGAAAAGATAAGAATGGTTTCACAAAGTCCGGAGATGATAACAGAATATCAACAATGCAATGAAATCGTGATGTAGGTGATCCCCAACTTCCCCCCATTTTTCTGCATTTCACTGCAGCCCAAACTTACCCACCTGCGTGAAGAAAACATAATAAGTACACCAATTATAACTGCAGACCTCTTCACTTACATACAACATTGAACATATCACGACACGGAAATTTTGGACTCCATGTCAAGCAACAAAGTTCACAATCCATGTTAAATCTGCATGAAGAGTGATGCTAGCAAAGCTCAGTATTCAAGTCATTCAACAGATTCGACTTAAATGTTCAAAACAAAATGAAGGTTTCAGCAAGACCGCGCAAGCAACCTTCTTAGCTCCATCACCCAACTCCAAACTCAAAATCAAATGAGTAGACTGAGTAGATTGACAGACTTCAAGATCATACCAACAGGCCCGAATACCAGAATGCATTTATACACAATATTCTCATGCTCTATGCTTAGATTGACAGACTTCAAGATCATACCAACAGGCCCGAATACCAGAATGCATTTATACACAATATTCTCATGCTCTATGCTTTCTCAAGTTGAACCATTACCAATTTGTTTACCATAATTCTATTTCCGAAAGTTACTGTAGATCTACCAAGTTAAAGATGACTCAACTTGCTCAGACCTTTCAATGAACTGTCCAAAAACTTAGAAGCTAGCAAATCCAACACGACACAGAAAGCCGTGCAAAATGGATAAAAGACATTATATGCGAAAAATCATAATGGAAAAAAGCCCCACAACGCAATAAAGGAAGTTGCAGGGGTAAATCTTCCGAAGTTTGTAGATTCATGTCTTTGGTATATACATGTTTATTACCTGAATCGAAGTAACCCTCGCCAGGTAGCAAATATACATCAGAATTGGATTGAGCATTCTATCAATTTTCAAAAACTCAAACTGATAAGCATTTGTTCCAGCTGACAGTCACGATTCGACTCAAGCCTCAAACTAAGAAACTAAAGACCATAGCTACACCTACACCTATTAGGTTTCACATTTCAGAAATTGAGTTGTTTCCTAGTGTTTTTTGTCTGAATAAAACTCCAACCTAAAGCCCTAAATCATATGCCTCACCAGAATCAAAAAACAAGAACCCGACTCTTAATTCACAGCGAAAACGAGCAAATGGAATCGAAAAGACCCAATCTTGAACAAAATTTCACCCCAAAAACTGAACTTTCAAATCCAAACAATAAAAAATTGCAATCAGATTATCAAATTGGGAGCTCAAAACACAAGAAACAGTACCTGAAACCGATCACTCGGACTCCACCGGCTCCGGCTTCGGACCTGAAATTCCCATAAACAAAAACAAAATGTCAATTAATTGAGAAAACTGACAAACGACGGGAAAGGATAGGGTACGGTGGCGGACCATGGAACTCGTAAGGACGGTGGTCCTTCCCCCAACCGATGCCGCGAGTGGACTCGAGGTACTGGTGGACGAGGTGGCGGCACTTCTGGAGGTGGTTGACGCCTTCGATGCGGTAGCACCATCGGAGCTTCTCCCTGATGATCTTGGCCTTCTCGATGTCGATCCACTTCTCCCGCACCAAGTGCTCCCTCATCTCAAGCATCGCCACCGGGTCCTTGTACGGATTCGCCGGATCAAAGTCGTCCGGCGGCGACTCGTCGAAGTCCACCACTCCTTTCTTCCGCCCCATTTTCCTCTCGCACTTCTAGATTGCTCTCTCCCTCTCTCCCTCTCTCCCTCTGTGTTCTGGCTTTGATTTTCGGAGCTCTGCAGCTGCTTCAGGTGGTTGAGCTTTTGGGTATTTGGGCTTACGATTGATCAGGCTCTGGTTTTGGGCTCATCTCCATTGATAAAGCACTAGGCCCATTCAGGATACTTTTGTAGTAAGAAAACGGGTTTGTCTTCAGTAGTCCGACATTTTATTAATTAGATTAGCAAGTTGACAAAAAATAGTGTTTCAATAATTCAATTATGGCCAACTATTTCTTGCTACTAAGTAGTTTGGACTATTGAAGAAAAATTGGTAAGAAAACATGTTCACTTCGAAGTGTATTTCCGTGTTAGTGATTTGCCCACTCTATTTTTATCGCTAAGCATCTCTTTTTATTTGAACTTGAGTGCAAGTGATTAGGTATACTTCCTTAATCAACTGGTCTAACATGCAACTGCCTAATTAAGACATGCAACTGCCTAATTAAGAGAAACAACGGAAAAAAAAAGAGTGCAAAAGAAGAAATGAGTGTGACAATCAGTATTTGTTTCTCCTTCTAATAGGCTTAAAATTTGTGTGATGGTTCAAGAGCAACTCAAAATATTATTCATATCTTTCTTCGTCATTTGAGATACACAAAATGTTATGGCCAAAGCCGTTTATCTAGCATCCAAGTGCTTCCTAAAGCAACTCCTAGATCGAGTACTTCACCAAAAAACACTTATATGACCCAAAAAAAATTGTAGTAAAAAATAATTCTAGTTGTCAAAAAAACTATTTTTAACTACAGTTGGGCACGGGCCGGGTTGGGCCTAAATCTGGAGGAACCTGTTTTAAAATGTAACGGGCCGCATGGGCCGGTTAGAGGGATTTTGAGTTTGAGAACCAGACCTAACCCCACCTGTTAGAAATGGGCCGGTTTGGGGCAGGTCCATGAGTCCAATTACTTTATTTTTATTTATTTATTTTTTCCGGTTTTGGGCATACTACCAGTGTCTTTTTTCTTTCTCCTCTTCACATCATCTCCATTCTCTCCTCTTCCCCTCTTCCAAATAAAAAACTGAAGCAATCACCATTTCTCGATAATTGCATCACCTGGGCCTTTACCATCGTCGTTGTCTTCAACATTAATTGTCTCTCTGTCTGCAACTTCTGTCTTCTCTCTATTTGCAATTTTAATCAGCTTCAACGTCATCGTTTCACGATTCGATGACAGGTATCCACCTTTTCCCAATCTTTGACTCCTTCGCACTTTCTTGTATTTAGTTCATCAGATCTAATGGTTTCTCAACTTGCAGGTGTTGAGAGGCAGCGGATCCAAGATATTGTCAACATCTTGGACTTGGGACTTGGGATAGAAGGAGAAGGAGTCGAAGAGGCTTTCAAGTTGGGAACTAAAATGGCTTATTAAAGAAGGTTAGGAAGACGGGGTTTGTGGACTAGAGGTCGTTTTGGTGAATTGATGATGGTTTGAGTTAAGTGATGTCGTCGAGGAGAGGAGTGGGAAAAGATTAGCCGAGTGGGAGGTGGGAGAGGAAGGAGAGACTAGGTCACTTAGAGAAACAAGTCCAATCCAACGAGTGCGATTGGATTGAAGATTGTTGATCATTCCATTTTAGAAACGGGTTGGTTCGAGGCCCCGTGATTTTAAAGATTTAGACCCGGCTTCGCCATGTAAATACCACCACCCCGCCCCGCCCCGCCCCACCTCGCCCCATTTCTTCTATAAAAAAATAAGACCCGCCCCATACCCGCGTATACCAGTCCTGACCCGTAGGTCCTTGACCTGTTTGCCCGCCCCTACTTTTAACCCTTCCAAACGCAATACCAAACAGATCCTTAACTCACAGGCCTACTAATTTCATGGGCCAGGGATGGATTTGGGCCATGGAATTGAAAATTCAAGACCAATTTCAACCTGACATCGACGACCACCAATAGGTAGCACAGAAGACGGAGGGGTGGAAGACAGGTGGCAGAAACCCATCTGATGGAATTAGAGACGTAGAGCTGAGAGAGTTGTGCTCCTAATTTCGCGCACTAGTTCTTACCTCTCATGGAAGATCAACGGTGCACGGAAACTACGAGGAAACCAAAATACACCAAACAATAAACATCTGAACAAGACATGATTAAAAGTAAAAATAATTAAAGTAAATGATAAAAAAAAAAAAAAATTGGTCTAACCTTAATCAACGCCGCATTAGCTTGTCGTCTCTTTGAGTTTTCTCAGGTGGGACTCTCTGTCTTTTCTTTAATTCACATTTTCCTGGATTTCCTTCGCTGCATTTTGATCATGATGATCAACATTTGTTCATGTGTGTATGAATAGTTACGGCCCGTTTGATGACCATTTTGTTTTTAGGTTTCGTATGAATAGCTCAAGGCATGCAGCGTGCTTGGTAACCTTTTCGTTTTTAGATTCATATGTATAGCTAAAATGGTTTGTTTGATAACCATTTTGATTTTCGTAACCAATTGTTGAATGATTATGGGATTCTAAGTCAAGTTATATGCTTCTGGGTTGTTCCATTTTCCGCTCTCTTTACATGCTTACATACGTTCTCTTGTAGCTAGTGTGAAGCTCGGGCAAATTGTCTCTCACATTTTGTTTTTGCTTTTTTTTTATTTTTATTTTTTATATTTTTTATATCCGATTTTCGAAGTTCTAACCAGATGTTCATAAGTTTTTCTTTTCTTTTGTGTGTGTGTATATGATTGCTGGTGCAACCCCAGCTTAATCTTCATCCCCTTTCGTTTGGAACTCGATAGCATTTCTCCTACGTGTTTGTTTCTTCGAGAGATTGTTTGTTCACTTTACGCAGTTCATTGTTAGTACCCTTACATCATTAACGCGTTTCTAACTCGCAGGGTTACTCTTTTTCAACAGATGATTAATGTTTTTTAGCATGAGTTTATAGTTAAGCTCCAAAGCTAGACGCCACTCCAAGTAGCTGATCATGGATTCCACATCAAATTACAGCAGAAAAGAAAATGTAGGAGCCAGCAGCCCAAGTGTTCCTGCTACAGGGAATAGTTTCGAACAAGTTGTAAATCGTAATGGTGAGACTGAAGGTGAGGAAATCTAGCCATCTCCATTTGTTCCTGATATACTCTCCAATGCGAGTCAATGATCTTAAATTTTTCCCCGTTTTGGAATTTTATTTTGCAGGGAAGCGGAGAGCGTACTTAGTAGAGTGGTTAAATAGTTTAGTTCCTAATCTAGGTTTACCAACAAATGCTTCATACGAGGACTTGCGATCGTGCTTGATCGATGGTACCGTTTTATGTCTGATGTTGAATAGGCTTAGACCTGGTCTTGTTGATAAGGTTAGTTGATAACTTGATAGGCTTTCCGCGGCCCTTTTTTACTTGAAGAGTTATTCGACAAGTTGGTGATCGAATGTCTCGTTTTGTAACTTCAACGTTCATAGAATTCGATGTCACCCTCAGAAAATGTTGCAAGGTTTCTGGCAGCTATGGATGCATTAGGGCTGCCGAAGTTTGATATGTCCGACCTAGAGAAGGTATCTGTCGATGTAATTTGTATGCATACAGCTCCCCTATCAAATTAAACAATTTCTATACGTTCGCTGACATTCAAATATTATCCAGGGGTCTATGAAGACTGTCACAAACTGTCTTTTAACACTTAAAGCAAAACTTATGCCAAATGTTATGGGAGATGGTATTACTATAACTAGTCCGACGACTAAATCTGGCAGCCAACCTTCCCGCTTCCAGCTTTCTCAATTATCTGTAGATGAGAGGCGGAAGGTCCTGTCTGAGTCAAAATTTCAGCGCGCATTGCATAGTCCTGTTATGGCAGGTCTGGCCATTGTGTTGTACATATCAAACTTTATTTTTGACAATACACTTGTGTTTGTTTAGTTGATTAACTTTTACATGATGTTTTCGTCATTCAAACAGTGGGTTTGACGCAAATTTACCTTCAGCAGAGACATCGCCTTCACGAATGCATCATGTTGGGCATAAGTTCCATGAGGTGTTGCAGTTGAAGCAAGGAAGCTACGCGGATCTTCCTGCTGCAAAAATTTCAGAAATGATGAAACCGAACAGTTTAGATGTCAGTCATCAATGGACCCTGAAACTGAATCAGGTTTTCCTTTTGTGATCTCTTCAGTTTAATGTATTTTTAATGCACTTCAGCATCTCTTGCTGCAGAACGCTCCAACGCAGTCACTTTTGAGTGTCGTAAATGGAATCCTCGATGAAGGTGTTGAAAGAAAGAATGGTGAAATACCTCATGTATGGAAATCCGAAAGCAAATGATTGTTAAAAAAATAAGTTCATCACGTACAATATTCAAGAAATATGGAGTTTGAAAATCTGCTCTTACACATTGCGTTTGTGGCACAGCGTGTGTCTTGCCTTCTGCGAAGAGTTGTCCAGGAGATTGAGCGGCGAATATCAACTCAGGCGGAGCATTTAAGAACTGTAATATGCTTTTATGAGTACTTACCACCGATAGCCTTATTAAGAAGTGCTTTGCGTTAATTTTTTTTTATGGTTTCGTGCAGCAAAACAACCTTTTTAAGGCTCGTGAAGAGAAATACCAGTCAAGAATCAGAGTACTTGAAACACTTGCATCCGGAACCAGTGAGGAAAGTGAGGTATGAAACATTTTTCGGAAGATTAGATCAGGAGTTGACAGCTTCTCGTAAACATGTTTCAATGTGGTACCGATGTCTTATTTTCAAAGTGTGAATTTTCTGGTACAGCTTATGATGAACCATCTTCAGCAAATAAAGGTATATTTTGCAGACAATAAAAAGCATATTGCTGGTGTTTAGGTGTTTAAGCAGTGAAAGAATACGTATAATTTTACTTGCAAACTGCGGTTACGAGGATTTGCTCATTATATAAGTTTATGAATATGATTAAGTGGGAATGTTTACAATTGGCAGAGTGAGAGAACCCGAATGGAAGCAAAGAAGAAAACCGATGGCGAGGATGTGAATGTGATCAGATTGATGAAAGAGAGGGATCAAGGCAACCTTGAAATTTCAGGATTGAAGCAAGAGTTGGATATAGCAAAAAAGACATATGACCTGCGTTGCTTGCAAATGGAAATGGAAGAGAAGGGTGCTAGAACGGAGCTTGAAGAGAGGATAAAAGAACTCGAACGTCTCTTGGCAGAGTCAAGGAGTAAGGTGAAAGAGCTCCAGGCAAATTCTGAGTCAAAACATCAGTCTAATAGAGCAGAACTTGAAGAGAGAGTAAAAGAACTTGAACGTTCTTTGGAAGAATCAAGGAATAAAGTGAAAGAACTCGAGGCAAGTTCCGAGTCCAAATATCAATTTTCTAAAGTAGAGCTTGAAGGGAGAATAAAAGAACTTGAACGCCTCTTGGCAGATTCAAGGAATGAGGCGAAGCAGCTTGCAACGAATTCAGAGTCAAAATATAAAAGTTGGAGCAAGAAACTGCGTGATTACGAGAACTCTATGGACCTTCAACTTGGTTCACTAAAGGTATCTTTAGATCAAATTGTATTTTCAGCTTTAATGTATATGATGAATAGTACGCATTTCAAATCAATTTATGAAATATTCAGGAATTAAGATTATCTTCGGAGTTCATTAAGCAAGAAGTTTTGACGGCAGAACACAGTTACGCGGTGGACTTCAATCACTTAGGTAGGGTTGTCTATTGGAAGCATTCGTCTGTTTCGTGCAGTTTGTGCTAGAAGAGTTTCATGCTTTATAACTTTGTTTTCCAGGAGTGAAACTTCAAGCATTAGCAGACGCGTCTGAGAACTATCATGCACTTCTCGCTGAAAACAGGAAGTTATTTAACGAAATTCAGGATTTAAGAGGTGCTACAAAATAAATTAGCGTTACTGTGGTTACATCTTACGGAAAATATTAGAGTTCACTTCTTAACTTTCTTGCACAGGAAACATCAGAGTTTACTGTCGAATAAGACCATTTCTTCCTGGAGAAAAAGAAAAGAAGACGTTGGTAGAACGTATTGGTGAAAATGGGGAACTGGTAGTTGCAGACCGCTCCAAACCAGGGAAGGAGGGTCATCGATTGTTCAAGTTTAACGAGGTCTATGGTTCAGATGCAAGTCAAGGTTCTCTATTTTGTGTCTGTAATGTTGGATACATATTTTTCGATTCATCTGTTCGTTCTCCTCGAAAATGATTCTTCTTGAATTGAACATGATTGTACAGTGACATACATTACTATGCTGAACTTTGAGCAATTTATTTAACTGTGGCAGGCGAAGTATACGCTGACACACAACCATTGATACGATCTGTGCTTGATGGATATAATGTATGTATTTTTGCTTACGGTCAAACAGGATCCGGGAAAACATACACGATGGTATGGAACATATTTATATCCTAATTTTCAGCACAGAACGATAATTTGAAAAATGCTGATTTGTTGATGTTTTATGTCTGTTGTTTCCTCTCAGACTGGTCCTAATGGATCAACTAAAGAGAACTGGGGAATCAACTACCGTGCCTTGAATGACCTTTTCGACATCTCTCAACGTAGAAAAAGCTCCATTACATATGAAATTCGAGTCCAAATGGTTGAAATATACAACGAACAAGTGCACGATTTGCTATCCAGCGATGGTGCTCAGAAGAAATATCCTTGTCGTTATGAAATGCGCTTCCTATTGTGTTGTCTGAGTTAGTTTTGGTAACAGTCTTTTGTTTGCCTTGACTTGCACACACTTGGGATTATGACTCACTCTCAACCCAACGGGCTAGCTGTGCCAGATGCTAGCATGCACCCCGTGGAAGCAACCTCAGATGTAATAAGATTGATGGGAATCGGGTTTAAGAACCGAGCTGTTGGTGCCACTGCGTTAAACGAAAGAAGTAGTCGCTCTCATAGGTTTGTACATTTCATCTTCGTAAAACTTCATCCCGTATATATCTACATGTTATACATTTTCTGGTGTGTTTGATTTACGCATGAATGTCTATGTACAGTGTTGTTACAGTTCATGTACGTGGGAAGGATTTGAAGACTGGTTCCGCATTGATTGGTAACCTTCATCTTGTAGATCTCGCGGGAAGTGAAAGAGTGGACCGTTCGGAGGTAACAGGAGACAGGCTCAAGGAAGCACAACATATAAACAAATCATTGTCTTCGCTCGGAGATGTCATATTTGCTCTCGCACAAAAGAGCCCTCATGTACCTTACAGAAACAGCAAGCTCACTCAAGTCCTTCAAAGCTCTCTCGGTACCTCTTCGCTAGTTAGTTTCGTTGTTGTGCGAAGTTTTGTCAGATATGTAGCAATGCTAGAATTTTTACGGTGTTTTCCAACAGGTGGGCAAGCGAAAACGCTAATGTTTGTGCAGCTAAATCCCGATGCGAGTTCATTTTCCGAAAGTTTAAGTACTCTAAAGTTTGCTGAGAGGGTTGCCGGAGTTGAGTTGGGAGCTGCGAAAAGCAACAAAGAGGGCCGGGATGTAAGGGAATTAATGGAACAGGTTCTCATTATATATAACATATACATATGCTTGGGAAAAATATGTACAAATAATGTTCTACAAACAAAATGTTGTTTCTAAATTTCTCTTGCCTCTGCAGGTAGCGTCCCTCAAAGACACGATTGCTAAGAAGGACGGCGAGATTGAGCGATTGCAATTACTTGATGGCCACAGTGAGAAGCGTGGGACGAGCTCATTTAGGTATGAATCTTCGCAGCCAAGCAGAGTTTCTAGAGGTGGGAAGTGAAACCAAACACCGTTAAGTGGCGGGATGAAGGCTTAGGGCTTAAGGCAGCTTCTGATCCTGAAAACTGTGTTCTTGTACAGTATCATAAGCTCCAAAAGTCCATGCAGGACATTAAACAACAAAATGATTTTCTTCGGCAATCATCAAAGGTTGCCGGAAGTGATGACATAGGTCAGAATAAACATGCAGATCATGCTGAGTACTTGGCATCTGGAGATGCAGATTCTGAGGGGAAATTAAGTGACTTATCTGACGGTGGTCTTTCTACTGGAACAGAAACTGATGGCTCTGCATGAATTATCCCGAAAGCACGAAATCCGTTCCCTTGTAAAGGTGGGCATTACTTACATTGAATCTAATGCGTTATCCAGACACACCAACAAGGCCTATATGTAACGGCATTGGTGATACCTACCAATGACTCATATTCTGCAGGCCTAAAAGGATTAGTAGGATTCCGCGACCCTCGCTAAAACCAGGAACAACTTCTTCACCTTCGGCATCAGGATCAACGAGCGCTGTGAAGGTGCCATCAGGTACGTGAAAATAGAGCTCTCTGCACCAATTATTACTTCAGTTTGCCTTCTACTTATCAGCAGTATTACGTCTCTCAACAATTCACAATCACTTTGTGCAGGTATGAGAAAAAGTAGCAGTTCTTCGTCACTGAAGCCGGCTGCAAACAGTTGGAAATAATTAGAACTCAGTCACTACAAGAATTTCTCCACTAATTTTTTTGATATACATGTACAGAGTTTTCTTAGTTGCAATTTTCTGAAAATTTTAACAGCTCCTACCCCTAGCTTTCTAATTACTCAAACCCTTTGTTGTGTGAGCTCTACTGCAATTATGCAATGTATACAATTAAACCAACGAGCCTTGTGTATAATCTTTATCCGAAACACAAATCTTATCATTAAATTACAGTCAAATTAATCTTTGAAGCGCAACTCATATCATTAAATTACGGTCATATTAATCTTTATCCAAAGCACAAATCTTCATCTGAAGCATCACATTTAAGCATTTCAAGACCCGTTATATTGTTTCACTTTACAGCCATGTAATAATATAACTGTAAAGCGAAAACACCAATTGATATAGTAACTATTTTCCACACAGTATATTTTTCCGTATTTTACTAGGATTAGAATACATGTTTAAAGCCAATGCTCTCTTTGATAATTTTACATTATAACCACATACCTTCATCACTGCAAAATTTGTATCGTTCCACTGTGACTCCATCTACTGTTGCTTGTGCTAGCGCCACATTTTCATAGTTGTTTATAGATTCCTTAATTGCACTTTCCAGCAAAGTAACTTCTCCCACAGTTATCTCACCCCAAGGCAAGCCCAGTCTCGAGAGATTTTTCAATATGATTGGTCGGGTTGATACACTACATGTCACTATACAAATGATGAGATATGTGTGCTAAAATGTTATATTCCACCGTTTCTATTAAAACATGTGGTGTACCATTTGTATTTCCGTCACAATGAAAAATTTCTTGCCCAGCCTCATCACTAATATTAGAACTTGTTCCAATTGCAAATCCCAAGTTAGAGATCGTATCCAAGGCTGAGATCGAATACATTCAACCTCCGGGCTTAGAATTGCTAGACCTATCTAATTCCTTGAAGTTGACATATCTGCCATGGTTTCAAGTATCAAGTCTCCACCTGGTAATTGATCACAAAGATTGAACATTAGAAGACCCTCGTACCGTAAATCAGTTTGAGAGCTAATTTCTTGAATTGCTTGTAGTCTCAGAATTCAAAGTCATTGGCTTTGAAAGTGCTTCATCCTTTTTTATCCCCTTGATCTGGTATTTATTTATAAATCGATGAACGTATAAGATCTCCCATATGATTGCTAGCCAATAATCACGAGGATTTTTGTCGGTAACCTCAGACCAATCAAAATCAATATCAATCGACCCCTTCAGCTCAGGAAACTCTATTATACCTGATTCTGATCTAAAGAAAAAACACTACTGAAAGTTGATAATCAAGTTATAAAAAGAAGACTTTCTTTAATAGCTACATGGCAGAACAAGTGTAGAGACTACAACACTAATAAGTAAGAAAAAAGCACAAAACATGTCTGATTAAAAAGAAGAGTTTTAACAAAACACTCTCGGTACTGTTCACTTTTAATGAAAAACCATATTTTTACCTTTAACTGGCACTATTCACTATACCTTTAAAAAAAGATTTTCGTTAAAAGAGAATTTTTTTTGGACTTTTCGTTAGTTTTCCTTAAAAAGAATGTAACATAAGATTAGAGATTGTATAATTTATATAGAGTACTGATAGGAATATCTAAAAATATACAATATAAGAATAAGCTTCTAAGGAAAAAGATGAAACAATACCTACTTTAGTACATAGGCTGCTCTCTTCGACCGAAGGAACGCTATATAGGCTGCTCACTTTGGAATTTTTGTTCATCAAAACCTCAATACCCCCATCACTTTAGTACATTCAATCAGAATGGCATTTTATATTAGTAAATGTATACTCTTTCAATATATTATGAATTCACATATCATAAGTTCACAATGAAATTCAAAAACTACAACAATCAGAATCACTTGCTAATCGAAATCCCAACAAGCAAATTTTAGTCAATAAAGTTCACCCCTTCAGTCTATTAAGATTTCAACAATCATAAGTTCAAAGCAAAATCCAGAAATGTTAGATCCCATATCGTCCAGGGAGTGGATCCTCTATGCCTTATATGTACATGCTCATCTCCATATACCACGAGATCTTTTGGGAGCTCACTGCGTCGGAACTCCAAAGTTAAGCGAGAAAGGGGCCAGAGCATTTCCAAGATGGGTGACCCACTAGGAAGTTCTACTCGCGTGAGTTCCCATTAACAAAACCTTGAGGGTGTGGTTGGGGCCTAAAGCGGACAATATCGTGCTACGGCAGAGGGGGCCCGGGCCGGGATGTGACAAGAAACTTAAACAAATTAACACACCAGCAAGTTCACAAAACCACCCAATAAAAAAATTACAATTTGAAAACCCAACCACCAAATTGAGGGTTTAGGGATACTTATTGTTTCGTATATATTGTAAAAAGGTTGCTTTGTTAGCAAACAGTGACTCTGTGGCCCAATGGATAAGGCGCTGGTCTACGAAACCAGAGATTCTGGGTTCGATCCCCAGCAGAGTCGTGTTGTTGTTTTTGAACTTTTTTTTTCATGAATAATGAAATCATTATAATCATTAAATGTTCTAGAACAAGTTTTGCTCTGTACCCCAATGGTTAAGGCACTGGTATGCGAAACCGGGCTCCGGTTCGATTCACAGTTGGCAGAGTCGATATGATTTTTTAAAATTTTTCCTATTTAAATGATTTTTAAAAAGATTGCATCATATATCCTGTTTCAGTCATTAGGCCATCTCCAACCGATGGCTGGCCAGAGGGCTCGTTTTAGCCCTCTGGCCCTCCAAGATTCTCCAAGATATTAATATTTTAATGAACAGTACAGGGTCATATTTGCCTCCGTTTTTTTCATGAATAATGAAATCATTATAATCATTAAATGTTCTAGAACAAGTTTTGCTCTGTACCCCAATGGTTAAGGCACTGGTATGCGAAACCGGGCTCCGGTTCGATTCACAGTTGGCAGAGTCGATATGATTTTTTAAAATTTTTCCTATTTAAATGATTTTTAAAAAGATTGCATCATATATCCTGTTTCAGTCATTAGGCCATCTCCAACCGATGGCTGGTCAGAGGGCTCGTTTTAGCCCTCTGGCCCTCCAAGATTCTCCAAGATATTAATATTTTAATGAACAGTACAGGGTCATATTTGCCTCCGTCTCCAACCGAGGGCCAGAGGGCCAGAGGGCTCGTTTTAGCCCTGTCACAAAAAATCGTCTCCAATCGAGGGCCAAAGGGCCATAGGGCCAAACATAATTTATTATTTAAAAACTACAATTTAAATTCAAATCTAACGGCTAGGTGACGTCAACATGATGTCAGCTAGTTGACGTCAGCTAGCCGTTGGTAGCTGACATCATGCTGACGTCAGCTAGCCGTTGGATTTGAATTTTTTTTGCTATAAATAGGGTGGATATTGGGCTATAATTCACACAAATACGTTCTCGTGCCACAAATACGTACCTACAACAGGATCTTGTTGCACATCTTTGGGCCAAAAGAAGCATGGAGTAGGCTTTTAAGTTTTATGTTGTTAAATGTTTTTAAAAATGTTGTTTAAGTTTCATGTTGTTAAATGTTTTTTTATGTTGTATAATTTGTATGTTGGTTAATGTTATTTAATGTTATTTCATATTGTTTAATGTTGTTTCATGTTACTTAATTTAATTTAATGTTTTATAAATGGCCTAGGAAAAAAATAGAATTGAAAAAAATTATGAAACAAATTTTGTGAAATAGAAGTTATAGGAAATAAAATATGAATCAAATTTTGTAAAATAGAAGTTATAGGAAAAAAATAGAATTTAAAAAAAAATTGAAACAAATTTTGTAAAATAGAATTGAAAAAAAATATGAAACAAAATTTGATTAATATGAAAAGGAAAAAAAAAGGGAAAAAAAAAAGTTTAAAAAAAAAAAAAAAGGCCTAATAATACAACGGCTACTAGCCGTTGTATTAAAAAACATTCAAACTATTAGTGTCGGTTATAACCGACACTAATAGTAGAACTATTAAAAAATAAATAAAACATGTTTAATGCTGTCGGTTTTAACCGACAGCAATAGAAAACATTAAAAAAAAAATAAGCCAGCCCGGGGCTGGCTGGCTGGCCGAAAGCAGCCAGCCCTCCAGCCCTCCAGCCCTCTCCGATCCCGTGGGGCCCTCCCAGATTCCAGAGCCCTCTGGCCTAGCCCTCGGTTGGAGACGGTTTTAGGGCTATTTTCGGCCCTCTGGCCCTCTGGACCCTTCGGTTGGAGATGGCCTTATGTCATGTAAGTCTCTCCAGACCATACAACTGCTCGGCGAGCACATGCAAATGGTTCAAAGTTAACACATTAGAAAAACTATGAAATAGATAAACTGAATAAGTGAAATACATATAAGTTTAAAGACAAATATTGTAATGTTGGTTTTTTTTTTCATTTGAATAAAAAAGCTTGCTTTCATGTCTTAATTTCAAAGGTTGAATCTTTTCTTCCTGAAACATAAATGTCAGTTTAGCCAAAATGGTCTCTGAGATTGACATAACTCCTTAATTTGTCCTTGAGGTTTGAAATCGATAGAACTGGTCCTTGATGTTTGAAATCGATAGAACTGGTCCCTGAGTTTGTCCATTATCCATCATTTTCATCCTTCTATGCAAAATATCTGTTAAATAAGAATTGTTAGGGCCCAAAGATGTCACATGTAAACCCAATCAAGTAGGCCCGATTGTCGTAAAACCCCGAGTCAAGTCTAAACACATGTCAAGGTATGAAATCGAGAAGGGAAAACATTCACAATCATGCCATGCCATTAATATATGATAAACGAACCAGACATTTATATAATCACGCAACGCCATGCAAATCCCTACACATTCATCATGCCATGTTATATTTCGCTAATTACCATTCACGCTAAAATATGCCCAATCCATATGTCTGGGGCTTGCCAAGTGAATCATGGTGTGGATGTTTACGGAAGTTTGTCGGGCATACACAAAGTCAAGATTATGGAAGACTTTGGGCTGCTTAGGAGCCCAAAGATCCAAACCCACAATCCCACAATCCTTGAAGTCTACGTAAGTGAGTTTGAGAGAGAACAAACCTAATTCCCTTTTTTCCCTAGCTAGACAACTAAGCCAGTTAGAAAAGAGTCAGACTCAAGGCCTTAAAAATCATGTGAAAGCCCAATAGAGCCTGCATTTAAT